TGAACAATTAATTAAGAGTTATAATGCTCGAAAGAAAGGTGTTGATGATTTTACAGATTCTTCGAGTAATTTAGAAGATGAATATGATGATGAGGAATATGGGAGAGAAGATTTAATTGAAAGTTTAATGATATTAGCATTGTGCCTTTTGGTTGGTTATTTAGTATATTTAAGGCAATTAAGATGGAATCAAGCAGAGAACAATCGAATAGCAGGTATTGGTGGTGGTGGTGGTGGTGGTGTTCGTGTATGGCGGCAAGGTGGTGAAAATGGAGCTGATCAAGCTAATAATGCCAATAATGCTGCAAGATTTGGATGGGCAGGTGCTGGAGGCGATTAAGAAATAATAAAATTCATTTTATAAATACAATTAATATAAATATATTGACAAAAAAAAAGATTCTAGGTTGAACCTAAAATCATTTAATCATTAATTATAAAAGTCATTGATTAAACCAAAATTGAGCAAAAAAAATAAAGTAAATTTTATTTTTGTGTGTTTTTCTGATTATGAAAGTAATAATGTAACGAGATGTCTAATTATTTATGAAATGTAATCGATAGTGTTCACACTTTAAAATCCATCTGTCATTTTCCTTGCATCAAACCTTTGACTGACAATTATTTTGAATAAATATTTATATTTCGCATATCTATAAATAAATCATAAAAATTATATGAACTCCGCGCTTCCTTGAATTCCTCCAACGAAACGTATAGAAATGAAAAAAGGATGTGTGTTCAACCCGTTCATATCATAAAAAAAGGATAATATTCTTAAAGGACATTATGTTAATATTCGACTTTATTATTTGTATGCAATTATTTAAAGTTTAATATATTCTAATTACGTAGCTCCCAATTCAATTCTATGATCGCGGAGCGTAGTGTAAAATTTTCCATCATTTTTATACAAAATTATTCTTATTACTAAGTCAAAAAAAATAATTTAAACTTAAAATTTATTAAAATTATTTAAAGTCTTATCAAGAAAATGAACAAGTAACTTCTTTAATGATTAAGATCGAGGTTTTTCTTTCTTTTCTTTGTATCTATAAATATTCACAAAAATATTAAAGGACATCACAAGAGTCAAGATTGAAAAGAATTAAAGTTAAAAATAAACTTACAAAGCAAGGAGAGATACCCCCGAGACTTTGACCACTTTGAATCGAACACCAGGGATATCCCCGATCTAGAAACAAAATAATACAATTAGATATCGTTGAATTTGAAAAAATTTAAATTGCCTATTACTTACAGCACGACCTTTACGACCAAATCCAGCAATTAGAACTTCATCATTTTCATCTACATAATTCAAGCAACCGTCATTGGGAACGAAAGCTGTAACCTTCTTTCCATTTTTAATTAATTGTTCACCATCCGGGCCCACTGCATCCCATTCCTTTCGCTCTTTTAAGTTGGCACCTTCTTTAGTCATTGTTCGAACTTGTTCCACTGCCCCTCCAGCTTCCTCATCTTCGCCATTAGACGATGGATCCCCCCACCATAACATTCTGGATGATTCATCTGCATCATCTACAATTTCCTTTCTAGAAATAAAATTCCAAAAACTTTTTGCATATAATTTAGTTAAGGATAACTTTACTGGTAAATACGCGTCGGGATTGGTTGAAAGAGATTGGTCATACCATCTTTTAGCGAGATGGAAATCCTAAATAAAAAATCAAATTATATTAGATCGACGTTATAAAATATTAGAATATTAAACATATATGACTAATAATAATAGAAAACAAACTCGAGCTACTCCTATGCCATTTTCATGCATCCAACCAAGATTCCACATAGCCATTGCACTTGATTCCGCTTCTGCAGCTACTTGATAACAAGCAGCAGCTTTTACATAATTAACTTCTGTACCAAATCCTTTAAAATAATAATCTCCCATTTTTACACGTGAATCAACATTTCCTTGGTTCGCTGATCTTGTCCAATAAATTAATGCTAATTTCTCACGAAATGTGTCTACCTTTGGCACTAAGTGTGGTGGATGCCAACGTGATTTATCTGCAATTACAAAAATATCAAATAACTTTACTTTCAAACTAAATTACAATATTAAGAAATTTTAAAATACCTTGATCCAATAACCATGCGGCATTTGCCTGACCCAATTCATAACCTCTCTCTGCAGCTAATAAATGATTTATTAGTGCAGTGTCTCTATCACCTATGTGATATGCCCTATATGCTGCTGGAAATGGAGAATGTAACCAATCTCCCCGTTCGGCCACATTTTTATAGAACTATATTATCAGGATAATTAATACATTGTAGATAATTAATAAACGAGCGGAAAATATATACATACTGCAGCTGCCACAGCACAAGATTTTTCGGTCCCTAATCCCTGAGTATACATTTCAGCTAAGTAATAATGAGCCAGTATATGATGATCTTGGTTTGCAGCTAGTCGGAAAAATTCAAAAGCGGTTTGATAATCACCTTTCTGGTCTAAATATAAAAACGAAAATGTAAATTCACAAGAAAATTGATAATTATAGTAAATAACGTATCATTTAAACTCCAACCTACGCAAGTAAATTAAACCCAAATTCACTTGAGCTTCAGAATATTCTTTTTCTGCCGCGAGTTTGAATAAATGTATGGCTTGATCGTAATTCTATTTATTAATATAATGAGACTATTCATATTATATAACTCAATAACACAATAAAATGGACTATATTTACCCTTATTACTTCAACACCTTCCATATACATCATACCAAGCCCATTCCAAGCAACTGGATCATCCTATATTATATTTGATATAAACAATTATATTGGTTTGGTAAATAAGAAAAAGTAAAATTTAAATTTAACGAACCAATCGGACACCTCTAATAAACCATTTGAGAGCCGTTTTATTATTTGGTTCAACTCCTTCACCACGCCAATACATCCTCCCTAAAATTCCTGCCGCTTGTCCAGCAGCAAGCCTTTGTTTAGGAGTCATATTAGGTGGATCATCGAACGTGCTTTCTGATGGCCAATAATTGTTAGCAACATCCTTGAGGAATTTATATGCACGTGGGAAATTTTGATTAATGTTACGGGTTCCCTGATAATAAAGTTGCCCTAAACCTAGCTATAGCAAAAGTAGATATACTCATTAATTCGTACATAATTATATTTTTTAAAAAAAGTAATACATATGTATTAAACACTTTACCTGAGCCGTCATATCTCCATTTTCAGCCGAATAATGATAAAACTCTAATATATCATCCCACACAGCTTGGTCAGGCTTTGATGAATAACCAGCACCTGGCCCACTAGCTCCATATCCATATACTCCACCGTCCTCATCATATAATCTGCTCTTGAGAAGAGGAGATGGAAGCTGTCGACCTCCTGGAGGCCCGGATTTATAATGTTCAATTGCTAAAATATTAAAGATAATGTTCAAATAATATATTCGGTATTAAGTTAATTTAGAAATGAAAAACATGAACTACCTTTATCTGCTACACGTTTATAATAGAAAACTGCATCCTCGCAACTACGATGTACTCCAATACCCATTAAATAACGATAACCAAGTGTCATTTCCGCAGCGGTATCATGACCAAGTGCAGCAAAGGTATGATATAATAAAGCCTAAAAATTAATTAAATTAAATTCTTTTATAAGAATTTAGAATAATCACGTTATAAAAAAACATTACTAACTTTTCCCTGATCTCTCATAACAATATTTCCTATGCCCGTCGCGTACATAAATCCAACCATTTGTTGTGCTGTTGCATTTCCGGATCGATTCGCCAATTCACGATAATAATAGAGAGCGGCCGTTAAATTACGAGGATGTGTATATTTTGCGTGCTAAAAATATAATTATTTTATTTACAGATTGTAAATTTACTTTAGTAACGTAATTTGCTTTAACTTACGAAATTTAACTCTCCAAGAGTAAATAGTGCACCATCATGATTGTATTCAAAAGCAGCTTTTTCTAATAATTCAACTGCCCTAACCAATTTTGGATGCCTATAATCCGCAATAACTTTTCTCCCTATTTCTGAGTCTGCAATTGGAGAACGTAATCCGAAAACGGAGAAGATACATTTTGCCAAAAATCGATATGAAAGAAGGAATAGGCTAGGATCTGAATCGTCGATTTCAAACCGCTTCTTGGGGAGTGGTTTCAGTGTTCGAAGTATTATTAAAGCTCTTTGATATAATTCATCAGCTATAAATAGTATAATATGAATTATACACTTAAACTCCTTTTTGTTCTCATTACGCAAAATATTGTCATATAAATACCGCTAAGTTTATCTTCCAATTTATATAAACCGTCTGAATTTTCCGTTATTATGGCGGAATTTGTCTGGGTCGCAGATTCTTGTGATAAATCAGCATTAGTAACAGCTGCAACATGTGTTACTATAGCAACGAACAAAATGCAAAGTAGGCAACCTATTTATTGAACAAACATTGCTATCATTAATGTAAAGTAAAACAAAAAAAGCGAATAATGTAAGTTAAATATACCGAGAAGAAAAGAAATTTTTTTAGGTTTGTACAACATATTTCTCAGGAGCATTGCGGAAATCTTTGACTGTTAAAAGCATCGCCTTTCCATTGAAAGGATCTTGGTAAACGTTTTTTATATTTACAAATCATTAAAATCATTTGTAAACGTGTTGACCTTTTATTTGCCCTTTTAACCGTGTTACGTCAATAAAGAAACGTCATGAAATTGTGTACCTCGATCAGCGGGTGACGACAAGGCGTTATAAAATAAATTATAAATATATAGCTACACATTGGTCATACATTGGTCATGTAAACTGACAAATGTAATTTCAATCAGTTGATAATATCATTTTTTTGACCAATTAAAAAATGGTAAGAATTGAGCAGATAAATTCCAAATTGATCTGTTTTATTTTAAAAATTTAACCAATAATGTCAATTAAATAAGATATAGATTCTGCTTTATTATTATTAATAATAAATAATCTAGAAAATGATATTTTTAAACTAATAAAAGTAGTTCTTCTTATTATATCTTCTTATTATCTTATTTTTCAAATACAAATATTATTAAATTTAAATATTAGTGATATGAAATATTATTTTTATATAATGACATATGTTTTAAAAATCACAATCTTTTTAGATCTCTGATGTTATAAAACTTGCTAATCTTAGCAGGATTTTCTGGTTCCTTGCAACTGTATGAATTAAGCTTTGTGTAATGCTTGCCAGTGACTGTAATCTGAATTAATAAACATTTTCATATGGAAGTTTAAGAGTACTGAAGAACCTCTGATAAAACTTAATAATATAGGCATTTCTATGATAAAAGTCACTATAACCAAAAATTAATCAGGCAACTTAGCTAAAAATTTGTTGAAGTCAGATTTTTTATTAGCTTCTTTTTTGGTTTAACAATAATTCGAATTACTTATTTTTGTATTAAATTTAAATTTAGGATAGGAATTATTATTAGGGTAAAAAGAAGGGTATAGTAATAATTTAATTATTATGCATTAATAGAGACTTTGCTAGTAATTATCTCCTGAGTATAGTAAAATAACTGGTTAGTTTAGGACTAATAAATTTTTAACTTGCAAAGATGTTTTAGGTAGTTCAATTTATTTTTTTCTACTTTTATACCTGATTTTTGAGATTTTCATATATTATTGTAATTTACTGGATTTGAATTTTTCATAATAAATATAAATATTACTGCGTTTTTAAAATAAACAATAATTATAAAAATAAAAATTTAATTTATTAGATTCATTACATTAAGACTTATTAAATGGTAGTATTTTTATACTTTTGAGATTGATAGATAGCAAGATATATGAGTTTAAAATTTTAATTTTTTTTATAACAATTTATATTTATTTATCTTTAAAAAATTACTAGTTAATTATATTTTTTTTTGATTTTTACTTAGAAAATATTATAAAATTTATTACAAAAGTATTAATTTTTATTAATATATTTTAAAATATTTAAAAATAATTAAAAAGAATTGTAATTAAAAATAAAATTGTTTACAAATTTATAGGTAAAATAGTTAAAGAAATATATCTTACTATCTATTAATTTTAAAGATATAAAAATATTACCATTTAATAGATAATAATATGATAAATCTAATAAAATAATACAGACCCCGCCAAAAGTCTCTGAACGCTTTTTGGCTCAATATAAAACTTAAATTTTTTAAGTTTAATTAAAAAATATTTAT